CACGCTCTCTCATTTTCATTGAGATAACTCACATATGCGGTATAAAGTCACGCGGAACTTCAAAAATATTTATATAAGATATATAAGGGCTACAAGAACTATTGATCCGATTCAACCCATTTTTGAAACAAAGACATACTATTATCGATAATTTTATTTATTTATTCTATTATATGAATTTCCGTTATATATCTTACACAATGGCCGATATTTACGGTAAAATGTGAACTATAGGTACTGGGGTCCACATATTCAGTACCTAGGGGCTTGAACAGTTTTGGTTCAATTTAGAGAATTTTTGGTCAAAAGGGGGCATACTTTAAAAGTATTATTCACGCAAAGTTTTACGCCGATATAATCATTGTTGCTTGATTTGCATAGTGGAAAGTGAAAGAATCAAGTGGAATTTAAAATGGTAACATATGGAAAATAGGCGTGGTTGTAATCCGATTTCACCCATTTTCGCACCATAACATAGAAACATAAAAAGAATGTTATGTATCAAATTTGGTTGAAATCGGTTAAAAAGATCCCAAGATATGGGTTTTCACCTAAAAGTGGGCGGTGTCACGCCCACTGTCTAATTTTGAACTTGGTTCCTATAAAGCCATCTCATACCATCCTTGAGATAAAATTTTATGTCTCTGGCATGTTTAGTGCTTGATTTATCGCGCTTTTAGTAGTTTTTAACAGTACCGTTACATGGGGAGTGGGCGGGGTTGTCACCCAATTTCACCCATTTTCACACCGTAGGTAGAAATGCTAAAATTATTTGCTTCCAGTGAGTCTTGTTATTATAGCTGTAGTAGTTTAGGAGATATGCACATTAAAGCTATTAAGGGCGGAACCACGCCCACTTAAAAAAAAAATTTAACTGCAGATGGCCCTCCCTAATGTGATCTCGTGTACCAAATAAGAGTCTTGGTATCTTATTGCGTAGCTTAGTTATGACAATTTATATGTTTTTGATCAATGGCGTTTTGTGGGCGTGGCAGTGGTCCGATTACGCCCATCTGCAATACCAACCGTTTTACTGTACCAAGAAACACGTGTACCAAGTTTTATAAAGATATCTCAATTTTTACTCAAGTTACAGCTTGCACTGGTGGACGGACAGACAGTCAGGCGGATTTCAACTCGTCTCTTCATCCAGATTATTTATATATGTATATATAACACTATATCTAACTCGATTAGTTTTAAGTGATACAAGCAACCGTTAGGTGAACAAAACTATTATACTATGTAGCAACATGTTGCGAGAGTATAAAAAGAGAGGTTTAATTAACGGTTAAGGTTCTGTACATAAATTTCTATTTAGAACGATGGATGATGGAGATAGAATAGATATTGAAAATTACCTTAAGAAAGTAGATGAAAATTTACATAATTCAATTACAGCTCTCAACCACCAAATAAAAATTAATAATTTCTTTTCGAACACGTTCACAAAATTAAAACAAATTATTGAAGACGAAAGAAAGAATTCTTTAATGTATCAAGAGAGAACAGACAAAATATTTTTTCTTCATGAACAAACAATAAAGATAAACATTCTCAAAGACGAAGTAAACCAAATTCAGGAAAACATTATTTCAACAAAAGTGATTTTTCACCCAACATTTATACAATGAAGAAATTTATAATTACAACATAGACCTCAAGAAACTTCAATATATAATGAGCGGCCTTGAATATAAAGAAATTTGTAATGTTCGTATCAAAATCAAAGAATTTCAATCGGTACAATTAAAAACTATTATTCCTATACCAAATACAGCAGGGCAAAGAAATAACAGCAGAAATTGAAAATGTTTTGAATACAAAATGTCATTATAAATTCGAAGAAGCTAAAACTCAATGAACTACAAATTTCTAAACAATGGATCTACTTAATTAACATTGGAACTTACAAATTAGATTATAGAAATTTTCAAATTGATGAAGAGATTTAATAAAATTAAGGCATAGAACTAAACCAGAACTGCACAACAGAAAAATTAAGTTAAAACACGATTGATTCATTATAATAACTGCACAATAAGATCCTATACAAACATTCTCAAATACTAAATATCAATCAATTAAAGATTTTATTATCCAAACTATGATACTCACAATTTCACTAACAAAATTAAATTAACGACCTGTATTTAAAACTAAGAAAATTTAAAACAATTAATAATTAAAATATCACAAAAATAACTCTCATATTGAATATCAATTTAATTTTATTGGATTATAATAATAATTTAAATCTTTAAATTAAAAATAAAAGTAAACAATACTATTCAAGTCAGAGAGTTTTCATTAAGGGAGGGAGAGTAGTGTACACTCATCCCAACAGACACACAAACAAAATATTGTAAATTCGACAAAATAAAATTAAAGAGAAACAAGTAAACATTACAAAAATAAGAAAAGTAGAGATAAGAAATAATGCAAATGCATACAACATGTGTTGGTCCTAGTTTGACTGTAAGTGATAACCCAGACATTATCGGTAAACCACACAATCATGTTTGTTGTCATCTCAATAAAATTAGATTACATTAACAAATATGTTATTGCATAAAAAATAGAAAACAAAGAAATGATTAAGAAAATTGTAAGTGTGCTTTTACATTGGATTCAAAGGAGTTCTGATGTTTTTCAATTTTCTTTTGGTGTCGCTCTGGGCATTCACACAGTCAAAGAGAGTCCAGCAACTCGAGTCTAGTTTTCAGCATCTTTTCACAAAATTTCGTAAATATTTGTGCGCTCGACTGCGCAACACTGCGTTCTGGTTATCTGTATGTTGAGATGATGGTAACATTTTGCTTTGCAATGATTACAATATGTAGAACAATATATAATACAAGTACCTACCCGCTAATAGTTTCAAAGGAAATACTAAAGACGGAATTCCCTAATCCACAAGAATGTATTGAATATCCGCTACAAATATTTTCAAGGCCAAATTTATAATAGGAATTTACTAATCTTTAAGTATTAAAAACTCATAATTTCTTTACTCCAAAATCTATTTCTTAATTTTTTTCTTATTTACAATTTGTCATAATATTTCTATTATTCTATGCATACTTATTTGCATATTACATACAAAAATAGATAACAGAACTCAAATTTGCGATCGAATTCATTTGAACCGAGCGCTCTTGCAACCATTCAAAGAATTGAAAGTGAAAAGGAATGTGAATAAGGTTAGCAGCGAACTCTTACGAACAAGAACACAAAGCGTGCCACCCGAACACGAGTGGCACGGTCCCTTCGTCTTTCCTCGTCGTCCCCTCGCCCACAATAAACTGGTATGAGACTCTTTTGAGTCCCAATGTGAAACGGCACTAATCACTTTAGTAGTTATATAAGCAGAAGATAATTTGAAAAAAAAAACAGAATAAAATATAATGTCACAGAAGTAACATCGTCGGCATTTTTATTTTTGTTCAGTATTGTTTGGCATTTCATCACGGAAAGACTTACACCTGAACAACGTTTACAAATCGTTCAACTTTATTACAAATATTACCGTTCTGTAGAGAATGTGTCTCGCGCGCTTTGCTCAACTTATGATCAACACCATCACCCATCTTGAAACTCAGCATTCATTATTGAATAATATTCGGCCGAATAGACCACGTCCTACACACAGTGAAGAAAATATAGCGGCCGTAGCTGAGAGTGTACCCGAAGACCGTGGATAGTCGATTTGGCGCCGTTCGCAGCCACTCGTTCTGACGTATGGAAGATTTGGTGCATTTTACCTCGAGATATTTCCATATTTCTTCAAAGATGATGATGGTGAGAACGTAACCGTCAATGGCGACCGTTATCGCGTCATGATAACCGACTATTTGATGACTAAAATTGAAGCTCGTGATCTCGGCGACATTTAGTTTCAACAAGACGGCGCCACTTCCTACACATCGCATCAATCTATGGATTTATTGAGAGAACAAATCGGTGAGCAAATAATTTCACGTTTTGGGCCAGTCGATTAGCCACCAAGATCATGTGATATCATACCGTTAGACTTTTTCCTGTGAAGATATGTAAAGTCTTAAGTCTATGCGAACAGTCCCGCTTCGATTCAGGTATTGGAGCAAAACGCCTCGAAATGCTTGAACGAGTCATCGAAAATGGGACTCATCGGATGTACGATCTGAGACGTAGCCGCGGCCAACATTTAAAAAGAGAATATTAAAAAAATAAATGTCATAGAATGTTCTTTCAACTGATAATAAACATTCCCATTTGATTTAAATTTTTGTGTATTTTTATTCTTTAAAAAGGCAGGGAAACTCGAAATGAATCAGCCTATATATAATATATTGTTGATGAAAGTATTTTGTGAGTTAATGATTGTGCAGCAATCAGTCGGCAATTTTAGTTATCCGGTATATTCATGTAAAGCTACCTTTCTATTGCCAATAACAGTTGTTATACATATAAACGCGCATGGTTACTGTCAGTTGTACTTTTTCAACATAACACTACATTCGCGTTGATTTCAAGCCAGTGTTGATATCATTAGCGTACGTTGAAAATGTTTAAAATCACCTGAAAGGAACAACAGAGTACCGTCAAATAGTTTGGTGTATTTTTTCTGTGTCTATATATACTCGTATTCAATATTCTATCCAATGCCCCAAGCGAATGTTTGTGTGCTATAGTGTCATTTTGGATGTAAATTTATATGATATTTTATACTGCTCCAGCAGTATACAGTCGTTGCAATACCGAATGACACAACGGCTACAGCGGTGATAGTTTTGATCGTATACTCAGCAAGAAATATCATAACAAAGAATTTTTTTCCAGTTCCACCTAGTGCGCATTATGCAGTCTTAAGTTAAATTTTTTTCATCATTTAGTAGTGGAACATTGCGTATAACAGTCGCTGCCAATTGGCCCGTATCACACTGCGCTTCACCATTTATATCTGTGTTTTTAAATCATATGCACTCCGATTGGTGAACTCATACCGAAATAGCTGATTAGTAAATTCGCAATGACAATGCTCATTGTACATTACGTCATTGAATGATATCGTTAAATCGTTGCAAATTGTACGATCTCGATACAGTATGCCATCAGTTATCGAATCTTTATGATTATCATACAACATTTATGATCGGATAGGAAAACATATCTTTCTAGTGCATGCCATGCATCTTAATTCGTTGCATACTGTTGACCACTTTTTTACGAAATGGCAATGGTTCGGTAGCATTAACCGACAACAGTCACAGATAGCACCCCTATGACTTGGATTGACTGTACATATGTTATACAACACAATTATTGTAGCAAGATCTCGTTCGTAAAAAATATGCGTTGGCGGATTTCGAGATGCACAACTGAATGGATAACTGCTGGATCCTGTTTATGAATTTGGAAACCGAAGTTTCATTGGAGCTGATAAACCGTCAATTTGGAGCATTTTCAATTCTAAATTCACTTCTTTTATTCACATGCTTGTAAATGTGTTTGAAGATCAATGTCAATGTCTGCGATATCGATATTTTTAGCACTAAGAAATACTATTAAATCCCTTTAAATCACTATGAGAATAAAATTAACTTGAAAGTTGTAACGAAAATTAAAATGATACGTAGAATAGTCACTGCTACGATCGAGACGTAAATAAGACCAAAAAAATGGATGAACACTGTATAGACAGAAGGGACAATGGGAGACCTCTGGTGGAGATTAATGATTGCTTGATAGAACTATACACGAAAATTATAGTATACTACAATCAGAGAACGTAAAATATATATATAAAATATGATATACGTTCTCTGCTACAATTATTATACTTGATTTCCATCTTGCGAATCTGTGGATGGAACGGAATAACATAAAAGTTGCGTTTAAAGATCAGGGGTTGATCGTATAAGGAGGAAAATTTAGAATGAATTTATTTTTCAATGAATCATGAAAATTCCAACAATAAAGGAAAAATCAATAATATTTTGGGCGTTCCACCCTTAACATTTAGGGGAATAAAAAAACAGATGTTAGCCGATTATCAGGCCTACCTGATAAGCACACCAAACTTCATCAAAAAGAGCCAGCCGTTTTGGAGGAGTTTGGTAACAAACAACGTGACAAGAGAATTTCTAATGTTAGATTTTTATAATTTGATTGTAATTTATTCGGTTTCTTGAATAATGCATGTTGAATTCTTATGCAACATTTTTATACTCTCGCAATATATTAATATAGAGTATAATAGCTTTGTTCACCCATTGCTAATGGCCGTAATCAAATCAATAACAAGCAAGGGCCCCTGCTCCCCGTGGTACCAGAATTAAGTCTCCGGTCAGATCTCGTAGCCGAAGCTACAACCAGTTGAGCCTCCATACTTCTCTAGACTGGTAATCAGGGGTTAGCCCCCTAACGAACATTACACGCACACACCTTTCACACAAAAAGCTAACCCTAATTCCAGTTAAACGCCTTCGCCTAACCAATTCACGCGCAAACGACCCTAACGGTTCGGCATTCCGACTAGTGGAGATCACACAGCTAACATCTTAATGTCCATCAGTCCAGCTAATCCTCATAACCCCGAGATCCCTAACGTCCGAATACATCGGGCACTTCGCGAGCAAGTGAACTCCATGCCCCGTAAACAAAAAACTCAGGCTCAGACAAAATCTGAAGTCTGGGTTACCCTCTCTAGCTAGAAGCCTCTTGCTCCCTAGATATCCCTCCCTCTCCACTTCATCATCGGAAATATAGTCATTCCGCAGCAATGACACACTCAAGTCCCTTCGTAACCTGAATGCGTCGTACTTTGCCTACGATTGCCTGCAGTCGTTTCTTTAGATTCTCTAAGTGTGGAGTGAAACACAACCTTTCACTCATGGTCAGCCCCAGGTATGTGACGCAAGTCAATCGTCGTCATCGATATGTCAACTCCCACACCTAAACCCCAACTATTTACTATTTCTAAGAATTGCCCTCCCGCCCGCTCTAATTCTAATAGCGATCGACGTTCAACGAGAAGGATAAGCTGCATACGCACAACGTTTACAGAGGGGCTCGAGCTGTCCAAGCAGAGGGTCCATCATAAGGTTCCAAATGTATGAACCGCAGATGGATCTCTGCGGGCAGCCACGGAACACTCCAATCTCCACACTCCCATTCATTCCGGCTAGAGAGGCTTTTCTGTCCGAAAATTAACTCCGACAAAGAGTAATTTCCGGACAGCCAAGCTCCTCCAGCCGTTGCAACACTCGATCCCAGCTCAGGTAGTCAAAAGCCCCCTTAAAGTCAACAAATATGCCAAGGACATATAATATTTGTTGACGTTCTCCCTAACAGCACCCTGAACGTAAAACCAAGCATCCTCTACACTGCGTCCTTTCCTGAACCCCTACTGCCTATCCGACCACATACCCCACGTTAGCTCCTGAAGCCGTTCCACCATAACACTTTCCAGCACTTTTTCAAGTACTGGAAAGAGACTGATGCCCGGATAAGAACGAGGATCGCTCCTGATCTTATCAGGGGACTTCAAGAGAGGAACAACCTTAGCAATTTTCCACTCGCGTGGTATCAATCCTACACGCACTTGTCATAAATGGCCTCCATGTATTCCGGAATGAACTTCCACAAGCTTTTACACATCTCTCCGTTCAAACCATCAAAACCTGGGGACCGTTTAGACCTGACTAAGCCACAGGCGTACCCTAACTTACCATCATCTAATGGATGGACAGGTACCTCTTGTGCTTGAGGTACCTGAACCTCCGCCCTAGGAAAGAACGCTCCTAACAAAGCCCCCGCACACTCTCTCCACGTTGATATATATAGACCTGACCGGGACACGCATCGGCCCTATTTTCCCGTACAAAATTTTTCCAGCATTTTTTTTTTTTTTTTAATTTGGATCAAGTTATAATCACTCAATCCCCACCCTCAATTAACCTACAATCTATCTACGAACGCCCTATCTGCTGCTTGATTCATAAGCGTCACGTCAATATCACTCACACCCCTAGGCCCATCAAACGTGTACCATTCACTCGACTGGTCTACCTTTGAATGCGCAGTTGCGTTAATAGGATGCATTGACGCAACAGGCAGCTCTGTGGCTTTCCTGGCCGCACCTCCGACAGACATCTGATTTGGCCCTACATTCAGCCGCTCTGTGATCAAAATCCATACACCGGAAGCAGCCAGCAACGAGGATATCTGGTCGCGCTCAGAAGGAGAACCACTTAGTGTAGCACCTACCTGCCTCCAAGAGGGCGGACATCATTTTGTCCGTACCCTCCAAGACGACATTGGTGCTACCGTCAGGGGCCACCTTCCAGGGTTGACTGACCATCCTTACGTCAGACCTCTGGGACGCCGGGTTGAAAACCTGCAGGTTCAGCCAGAGTAACTCTTCTATGAAGTCATCATGGGAGATCGTATGAATCCCCTGAACTACAACCCGAGGACCCAACTTCCGGTTGACATTCACGTCCAACCCCACCTCCCCGAATTTTGCTTTCGATGCCACTTTCTCCCTCTCCAAAACAGTGGGAGTGCGGATCATCGCCCCACCACCCTTAACCGGCCTAACCTCGTGGATCCTTACCCCCAGAGAAGGACCCACCTCCTTAACCACCTTTTTTATGACTTTCTTAGAGGAAGTTGCAGGCACCTCCAGTACAGGTGCTGGGGGCGAGAGCATCGGTGCCGATTGAGCCGGCATTGACCTGCTCGGCGGCAAGGAGTGTCTCCCACAGCCTCCTCTAAGGGCGTCAACATGACCGCGAAGATGGGCATTCTCGGTTACAACCGGCAAGCTCTATCAGCCACTTCACAGTCCCTATCGCGAAGTTCTCGGCCCCAAAAACTATTCCGCTCAGCTCCGCGGAAATTTGCTTAATAGCCGCGACATGGCTCACTGCGCCAACTCCGACAAAAGGGGGTGCCCCTTTAGCAGCGTCACCTCTGCCCGCACTACCCTTGCTCGCGCTCGACTTATTTGGGCCCGTCTTTGTCGTGCCTCACCACCTCGCACGAGATCCACTTTGCGGGGTGAACAGCCGCTTTTTCAGCGGTGTCACCATTACCGCAACCACTACCGCTCCCCCCTCTTCACCGCCCGCTTCTCCCGACGACCAAAACGCGCCTTCCGCCGTGGCGGGACCTTACCAATGGCCCCGCCGCCTCGTCTCCCGACGTATGGCCGCGAGTCGACCGATGTGGCGTTGAAGCGAAGCGATCCGTGGGTTAAACGCACACTACTACGACCGTTTGTCTGCACAGGATATACTATCTCCAACACTAGGACAGCCGCCGGTACCTGTTGAGCAATCCTGCTCAGGACTTGCTGACACTGACCAACTGGTCGCCAGATACCCAACACAGCACTCCAAATAAGCAGTCCAGTCGGCAGAAAGTACCAACAACACGGCACTAAGCTGGGACTGTGCAAAGAGTCTCCCAAAAACAAACAACGTGAACAACCACGTTCCGGTAGTACCTAAAGGTACAAAACACAATATTAAATATGTACTTACCGCTATTCAGCTAACCCTAGCCGAAAAAAAATTTACTTAAATTTCTTAAATAATAGTATACCTCTATTTCAAAAATAGGTTGAATCGAATCAATGTTTCTTTTAGCCGCCATATCTGTACATTCATATAACAAGTAAGAAAAGTCTAAGTTGGGGTTGGGGTTTTATACTCTTGCAACTAGCAAAGATCAAAGCCGGAAAATACCTTCAGGTGTGGACAAAACTTTATATTAACAATAGTAGCGAAAAGGTCCAAATTCATTGTAAAATGAAATCGGGAAAGGATTACAATCAAATTGGTTTCATATTAGCTTATTTTGAACGTTTAGTTTAATTACTATATTTTATTTCTCGTCAGTGAAAATTATATTAAAATCATCCTCAAATGAAATATATGTGATAGAATCTTAACCAAAAAGGCTAAATTTAATAAATATATTAGGTTGATGTGAAAAACCTCAACGCAAGGATTGGAATTCATTGTATTAAGAATATCTGAGGTTTAGAACAAGGTTTAGACCAATTCCATTCATCTTCAGTGGAAACCACATGATTTTTAAGAAAGAGTGTTCTTTTAATTTTCATCAAAATATCACACAATACTAGTATTCTTGAGGACTTATATGCAAGAAATTTAATAAATATATAAATATAAACATATATACGGAGTAAAGTTAACCGGATGTTTCAAAATTTTGCATATCAGTAATACTAAGGGGGCTAAGGTAAGTTTTGGTCCGATTTTATTCATTTTAGACACAAATATACACTACATTAGCTGCTATATGTGATAAAAAGTTAACTTGTAGTTCGAAAATCTTTATATTAGTTAAGGAAATTATTGACACGATTTAACCCATTTTTGACACAAGGGTATACTATTATCATCTCACAGTTGGACCAATATTCTCGGTCTGCCATACGCAATGGGGTCCATATATTCAGTATATGGGGGCTTAAAAAGTTATGATCCAATTTTGCAAGTTTTAGTCTCGAGATAGCTCACCGCAAAGGCACTATTTGTGCAAAGCTTTATCCGAATATATTATATTTTTTGGTGTATGATTTGTTTACTGGAAAGTGAAAGAATCATATAGAATTTAAAATTGTGGTATATGGAAAATTGGCGTGGTTGTTTTTCATAAAGTAACATAGGATCGTCAGGATAATGTTATGTACCGAATTTGGTAGAAAGTGGTCGAGTAGGTTCGAAGATATGCGATTTCAACTAAATGTGGGCCCACGTTCAATTTTGCCAACGGATCCTATAGAGCCCCTTGTACCATCCCGGATGTAAAATTTAATGTTTCTGACGAATTCAGATATTGATTTATAGCACTTTTAGTCGTTTTTAACAAAACCGTTATATAAAAGTGGGCGGGGTTATCATCCGATTTCACCTATTTTCACATTGTCGTAAGAAGGGTTGAAAAGGTTTGCCATGTGCAAATTTGGGTCAAATAGCTCTAATTGCTTTTTTTTTTTTTTTTTTGCCGGTGAGGGGGTGGCAAATGCCTTCCGCATCATCAGTGCTGTCGTCACAACAACGGTATGTGCCACTTGCAGGTCACTAAAAACCCACCCTTCTAGGGAACCGTCGCCCACCCTGGAACCGCGTTTGCATTACTTCAGGGTTACGTTCCATTTTCCTGATTGAGAGATTTACATCTGCGCACCTGCGTCCAGGTCCCGCTCTTTGCTGCGTAACAAAGTTTCTGTGAATTTCTGAATAATAGCCCAGTTAGCTTCGCTCTCCACCATGACGCTGATTAAGTTGTACGCGTTTATTGGACCGACCAGGTCTTCTACGGTGGTGCGTTCTCTTTGCCATCGCTCACATTAAAACAATGTGTGTTCAGCGGCTTCTTCAGTTGCATCGTTGTATAGGCATGACGGCTCTTCGACTTTCCCCATTCTGTAGAGGTACTTTTTGAAGTATCCATGACCGGATAGTAGATGTGTTATGTAGAAGTCGACTTCTCCGAATTTACGACTTGTCCATAAGTGCAGGTCTCTTATAAGTCTGATCTCGTCCATCTGCCGCGACTCTCATTTTCCCATTTTCGTTGCCATGCTGATATCGTATCTGTCTTTATTTGGTCTAATGCGCTCTTTTTGTATTCAGAGGTCAGCTCCCACAGCTTTTTCCTTTCATATGCCAGAAGATCAGTTGGGGTATTACCGCTTATAACTAATATTGCATCACCTGACACTGTTTGGTAAGCTGATGCAACTCTGAGGGTAGCGGTGCGGTATACTCTTGCCAATACCTTACGCCGGTTTTCCTTTTTTAACACATCTGCCCAAATCTCTGCTCCGTATAATAGGACGCTGATGGTCGTTGACATTAAAAGCTTTCTCTTTATATGTCGTGATCCCTCTCTAGTTTGGTATAGCAGTTTTCTACTGCTAAGGTAGCTCCGCACCACGGCTCTGAGGTAGTTGGGGATTCTAAAACTTTTTTCGAGAGTGTCGATCATGTCCGCCCATCTAGCGCTGTTAAAGTTGACCTGCCGGGTTATCTAGGGGAGAGTTCTCCGGCTTCGTTGATGGCCGCTTCGAGTCTGGGTTTAAGTAGCCTTTCATAAAGCTTTCCCGCTGTGTCGAGCATACATAGTGAACGGTATGCCGATGGTAAGTTGGGATCACCGTTTTCCTTACTGATTAGCATCAGTCGTTGTTTTTTCCAAGGTTCAGGGAATATTCCGGCTTCGAGGCAGGCACACGTTCAAAAGTACTGCCGATCGCTCTACAGCGATTTTTTAAGGACTTCTGCTGGGATCCCGTCCGGGCCGGGTGATTTATTAGTTTTGAGCTTGCCAGTGGCCAGTTGCACCTCTTCGAGGGTGAACTGGGGGATATGTGGAAGTCTTGTTGTCTGTTCTGGATCACTAATCCTGTTTTCGTGTGTGGGGAAGAGAGCGCTTACGATGTGATCCATTTTGGCAGGGGTTAAGTCAGGTGGCTTTGCTCGATCTCCGAGTTTCTTCATTACTGTTTTGTACCCAAGCCCCCAGGGGTTTTTGTTGGCGTCCTCGCGTAGTTCCTCCCATTTTCTCTTTTTGTTATCGTGCGATGCTCGGCTCCTCTACGCCTGGATCTCGTATACGATCTACGAAGGCGAAGGCATGTGCGTCTGAGTTGGGCGATATTTTCTGTCCACCAGTAAACTGCTGCTTTATGTTTGCTGCAGGAAGCCTTGGGCATCGATTTGTAACATGCTCTTATTATATAATATTAAGCATTGTGTGCTCCACAACTTTTCTTGCAGTTTTGGGGGAGCTGCTAGATGGGTTATGGTCGTCTATTGCGGCGATTAATTTCGAAGTGTTTAGTTTCGAGACATTCCATTAACGGGTTCCAGTATTTTTCATGTACTGGTTGGCGTTTGTTCCGGTGTCCACCGTAAAAGAGATATACTGATGATCGCTGCAAATATATTCTTCTAGGACTCTCCATTTCTTTATTACGCCTACCATGCGTTCTGATGATAAAGTGATGTCTGCTGTGGTTTCCTCGCGTCCCGGTCTTCTAAACGTCAGGTCAAGTGTCCTGGTCCAAAGCAGTGGTGGCACCTTTTAGCGTTTTCTTTCAGGCGCAGCCTGTAGTTAACCCAGCCAATTTTAATGCGTATCTTTCGCATCAGTGTGTCAACTTTATCTTGATGGGGCGTTATATACGCCCTTACCCGCTCTTTGTGTTAGGTGCCGTTATGTTTATCGTTAAGTCTTCGATCGGCTTCTGTACCACGTCTTTTACGGCCTCTGCGACTTCATTTCTTGTTGTAAGTGAATCGAGGTCTCTAATCTCTATGGTAGTCTTTGGTTTAAGGTCGGCCACAGTTGCGGATTTTTGTACGGTGTGCTTGTGTGGCTCACAGAAGTTTGCTTTTGCAGTCTGTCCCTTCTCGAGCTCTAATAGTAGCGCCCCGGCTATATACATTAAACCTATTAGGGGGCGGGGCCACATTTTAAAGACTTCCAAACTACAAATGCTCCTCTTTATTGTGATTCGTTGTACCAAATTACAATTTTATATTTTGATTTTCTGCTTAGTTATGGCAATTTATAGGATTTTTATTAATGGCGTTTTGTGGACGTGGCAGTGGTCCAATTACGAACATCAACAATACCAAACATTTTGTGGTCCCAAGGAATATGGGAACCAAGTTTCATAAAGAATCTTAATTTTTTTTCAAGTCAACAGCTTGCACGGACGGACCGACAGACAGTCTCCCGGATTTCAACTCGTCTCGTTAGCCTGATCATTTATTTATATATGTATAACCTATTTCAATAAGTTTTAGTGAAAGTTAAGTAAAAAAAACTATTATACTTTGTAGCAACATTTTACAAGAGTATAAAAATGTTACGAAAGAATTCAATACTTATTATTCGACGAAATCGTGATTGGATAACAATCCAAATTTGGTATCTTATTAACGTATATTGAAGGTCCTATACTTATTTAGCTTTATCAATGTTTTTAAGTCGCTTTAACGAAAATTATATTAAAACTTTCCTTAAATGATAAAAGAGATATCTTCTTTTAATATATAAAGTTCTAGTGTCACGGTGTTTGTTGCCAAACTTCTGCAAAACGGCTGCACCGATTTTGTTAAAATTTAGTGTGCTGGTCGGGTAGAACTGAGAATCGGCCAACATCTAATTTTTATACCCCTAAATGTTGGAGTGGACACCCTCTCCAATTATTATTAAAAAAATAAATTCAATCCCAAATTTTCACTCTTTTGCGATCCACACCAGATTTTCAATCGCTATTTTTATATTATTCCGTTCCATCCACGGATCCACAAGATGGCAATTGAATATATTATAATAATTGCAGTATGCTATAAGTTTCATGTACGAGTATAGTTTTATTAATAAATCAGTTATCCCAACCAGATGTCTCCCGTTTTCACTTCTAAACCAGTAAACATTGCGGCCTATACAGTTTTCGTCCATTTTAATTTTTTCTTATTTGTGTCTCGATCGTAGCGGGTTTGTTTCATTTTAATTTTTCAGTGCAACTCTCAATTTAATTTTATTCTCATTGTGAATTTAATATTGTAACGGATTTCTCGATAAATCGTCTACCTGTAACTCACTCTTGAGTTCGATCACTGGATTGTTAAATAAAAGTCCCAATTTATTGGCTACACACTTATCTTTATTTCTAATTCCAACAACTTAAACGAGCATTGAGCCTCTTCCTTTTCTTCTATCTTTGTTGTCTCTTCTTCTAATAATTATCTCCTTGGGAATTTATTTGTCAATCACCACTTCTGACACCAATTGTAACGGATTTCTCGATAAATCGTCTACCTGTAACTCACTCTTGAGTTCGATCACTGGATTGTTAAATAAAAGTCCCAATTTAATGGCTACACACTTATCTTTATTTCTAATTCCAACAACTTAACACTTATTGCTCGTTTTCGAGCTTACAACTTTTGCTATAGGTTTTGATTGTCTCTTATCACGACAACACTCTAACTAGAACTGTGTTTGCTGCACAATCCGGCAGCCCTTATATAGTAAATCTGTAACAGAACATTGCTTCTAGAACATTCTGGCAACTACGAATTCGCTAACTAGTTGCTTCTGGCAATTTATCGTTGATTCGATTTTGTTCTATCATCCGTGTTCGTCACAATATTATTTCTTTATGCTAAAAATATCGATATCACAGATATTGACATTGACAATCGTTCGGTGGTACCATATTCATTTCTGCTGAGTAAAACATTCAATACTTCTACGATATTAATGTTGAGTTCTGGAGCTCGATGAAGACCATCAAATATATTTGCAAGTATGTGAATAATTCCTTGGAATTGAAAATATTATTGTAAATAGTTCTCTATTAAAATAAAAGGATGAAATAACGAATTACCAAATTGGTCGGATCAGCTGCAATGAAGTTCCCTGACGCATATTCGGTTTTCGAATTCATGAACAGGATCCAGTAGTTATCCATTTATAATAATTGGGTCGTGGAAACACAGTCAATCCAAGGTAGACTGAGCATTTTTATCTGTGGCTGTTGTTGGTTAATATCAACGGACTATAGTGATTTAAAGATATACGTAAAGATATGGACAACAGTATCACCAGTAAAGTAAAAAAAGTACAACCGACCGTGACCATGCGCATTCATATGCTTCAGTTCCTTCTGTCGGAACTTTCTCAAAATACTGGATGCATGGAGTTACCTACTGATTTCTTCGCAATGATCAACTTACAAAATACTCTCATCGACAATATATTTGCCGATGTACACACAAAATATAAAAATTTTGAATGGTTGGCAGAAAGAGCGAATTTGGTAGCCAATGTGGACATCAATGGATTGAATGATATAACAGTTGTTGGCAGGGGACTTAGTGTCATACAAAACTATCGACGCCATAGAAGCTGTGAATTATCCAATTGACTTTTTGAATGCATTGGATATGTTGGGCATGGGTTGGATCTCCGGTTATTTTGCTTCATAATTTGAACTCTCATAAAATAATATTGTGTTAGTGCGTTTACAGTTTGACAAAGCGAATCAGTGGGTCTGGGCCGGACTGAATATGTGCACTTGCAAATGAATGTATTAAAATTATATCAGGTTGAGTGGCAGCTAGATTATAGTTGGACAATTTGGAATTTAGAAAAAAGGAATAGATACTTTTTTATCGAGTAAGAATTAGTGTAATTGAACACGTAAAATATGGACCTCCGTTTGCATCAACAACCCATTCAATCAACAGCTGGTCCATTTTGCATGCAATGTTTTAGGAAAATTTCTTTGACCAATAAATGAACAGAGTTTTTTTCATTGTAGCCACAATCACATTAAGTGACAGCGTTGCTAAATAGTTTACCGACTGTTCTCCAAGTTATCGAATCTGGTAACACTAAACAGCTGTAAAAATGGACAAGTTCAGTGTTGCCAGCAGGAAGATGTATCTTCTAAATGAAGATTTGTTTATAAAAAATATCATAAAAATTTTAAAGTGAATATATTAAAATAAAAATTTCATGTAAAAAATCTTCATCATCAAGATATCTCGTAATACTTAAAGATTTCTCTTCTCAAATTTGTTCGATTATTGAACAACCTCATTAAATTTGGTAGGCAAAAGTTTTTTTCAATCCTCTTATGTAGGCAGGTAGGTAGAGTGGCTGTCTGACGACGCACCTATGCCCATAGGAGGCCCATTGTGATGCCACCGGGTTCTAATGTTCCCGCACTCTAGTCTTCTCTCTGAACCAACCCGTGCTTCTGATGAAGTTCATCTGTAAAAATAGTTTTATGTGAGCAACTTCCGAGCCGTCGTCCAGGAACCCTCGACCGATAGTTGCGATTATTTTCGTGTATAGAGCCTTACATTCACATAAAAGATGTTTTGCAGTCTCCTCTTCTCTTACATCCTGACAGCTTCTACCATAGTCATTGTAAGGTGCACCTAGCCTGCTGCCATGTCTACCAATTAGACAGTGACCTGTTAACACTCCTACCAGAGTTCTTATGTCATTCCTTTTGAATTTTAATAGTCGGTTTGTGCGGCCCATGTTCCTTTTACGCCACGTTTCCCGGCTAGTTGAGCAAGTCAGGTATTGCCTCCACCGAGACACAGCTAGATTTATAACATGTTCGTTGATTAAATGTTTACAAGTGACCAGAGACATAAAACTTCCCTCATTTTCGGAGTCTACTTGAAGAGTGCTTTGGCTAGTTCGTCTGCTTCGCATTTACCAGGGATATCCCTATGCCCTGGAACCCATTGCAGATTTATCGAGATCCTCTAATAGATCAAGACATTCTTACACTATTTTTGAGGAAACCCTAGGAGACTTCAGTGATTTCAAAGTCGCTTGGCTATCCGCACAAGCGTTGTAAGCACACTTTTTGTCAGAACAACAAGGCTTTCTTTGATTGCTGTGATCTCCACTTAGAAAACACTGCAGTGGACTGGTCAACGGAAGGCGGTGTTGGTATCTAAATTGCTGAAAAGACACCACTTCTCACTAGATTATCTAGTTTGGACCCATCTGACTATCCCTGCATTCCTGTCCACCTCGTCCCTCTTTTCTAAGTTTAGTTTCAATTTTATTGGAGTGGGAAAATTCGTGGCAGTGGGTAGATACGGGAACTTACTAAGTATCTTAGAATGCCACTTACGGCTGGCGACTAATTGGGGGGATTCTCTCAATAGACCAATGATCTACCCGAGGCGTTAGCCCTTATTTGGGCCCACCCTCCTTTTGAGGGGGTAGAGTGCTGTAGTTGCTCTCTTCCCCCTAGCATCTACAAGGTGCTTTCCAAAGTAAACAGGACTTAAAAAAAAACAGAACAAATGGTTTTATCGGCTTCTGCTTTAATACAGCTTTTTGCACGGTCCAAAAGCATGTTGTACGAGTGTTTTAGCTCGTTGCCCGGTATGGCCGCCAGTATGCCGGTGCAAGCCTTTTGAATGGCCTCCACGTCAGCATATCGCTTTCCTTTCATCGGCAAATGCATTTTTTCGAAAAGGTAGAAGTCGCACGGTGCCATATCAGGTAAGTACGGGAAGTGGTTGATTGTTAAAATACGATTTTTGGTCAAATAATCGGCCACAAGCGTCGATCGATGAGACAGGGTGTTATCGTGCAACAAACGCCAACTTCCATCTTCGCGATATTCGGGCCGAATACGGCACACCAAACGCATCAAAACTCCAAGGTAGAATACCGCGTTAACGTTTTGGACGGGTGGAACAAATTATTTTTGGACAATAATATTTTAATCATATAAACAAATCAGCATTGTCTTCACTTTTGACTTCTCCAGGCGCGATTTTTTGGGTTTCGACTTTGAAAACGTTGAAACCACTCGTGCACTCTGCTACGGGATAGGCAATCATCGTCATAAACTTGTTTCATCATTTGAAACGTTTCGGTAAAAGTTTTACCAATTTTAAAACAAAATTTAATGTTGGCTCTTGGTTCGAAGCTCATTTTCGCACCGATGACAAAAACATACTGACACTTAAAACTCAATAACGTCACTTCCAATAGATGAAATATCATGAAATTTCTATGTTTGGTCTTAAGATCTTTTAATTTAAAATACTTGATTCTATTTTTGTTTTGCAATGCATTACATTATATTCATACCATTTTATACTTTGCATATGTTTAGTGATAATATATATTTTAGCACATAAGCCTGAAGTTTATTATATTTATTTTGTCATATACATATATGAATAAAGCGATACTACCACTGATGTAATATGTGGAACATGTACCTATACTCGTGTACCTGAAATATGTACTACATTAAAAATGGGAATGTTCTCAAGTGAAATAAAAAATTAAAAAATGTAGCATAAAAAAATTAAAATTGAATAATATATTTTATGTTTTTTTTAGACTACTCACCGAACAACATTTCCCATTAGGTTTGATCCAATTTGGTAAACTTTTGGGTCCAACGGCAATGGTGTCAATGAGTCAAAAGTCCAAACGTTGTATGTTTGTGGCTTAGATTTGGGTATACCACGCTTTTCCCGCGGGCAACTTTATGTGGCATGTTTTTGCTTGGTCAAACCATTCAGTTTGTTTGTATTCGATAAAGACGTACTGAACACAAATATTTCACATTCTATTGCGTTGAGAGATTAATCTTTTTTTATTTTTAGTTGCCAAAATTAGTATTAAAAAATTTAACTATTTTCGATCTATAGATAGCTATCAATAATTGAAATTCAATAAAAATTTGTTACTTTAATATATAATAATTTATTAACTTAGATAAAGCATACTTTAATTATCTACAACTCTTTATTCCTATTTCAATTATAATTAAATCCCCAAAAACTTAGTTATTTTAAAAAATCCTTCTTAAAAAAATATTTCTTTAAAACACTTTTCCTAAAAATAACTTATATGGGAAAATAACGTTTGCCGGGTCAGGTAATACAATATATGATATAAACTCAATTGAAGAGGCTAAATTTAATATAATATATTAAGTTGATGTGGAAAACGTCAACCAGAGGATTGAAATTCTCTATGACGGATGATCCAAGTAGAGTTACTTTTATCAATAGCCCTTTTTGACAGATCATGCGGGAGTCGTGTTAGGCTGTAATGTTATTTTTGTTCAGTATTGTTTGGCATTTCATCGTGGAAAGACTTACGCCTAAACAATGTTTACAAATCGTTCAAATTTATGACGAAAATTCCCGTTCTGTAAAGAATGTGTTTCGCGTGCTTCGCTCAACTTATGGTCAACATAATCGGCCTACTGAGCGTACGATTCGCCGATCTTTATTATTTACAGGTTTTTTGAATTATCGTTTACATGTAAAAATCATAGTACGATTTGATCTTCATTGCTTTCTGCAAGATGGGCGAATAGTACGCTCAGTAGGCTGTAAATAATAAAGTGGATATACAATATAATAAATCAATATAATTTGCGTCTAATTTTCATGGCACTGAGCAAACTACAGTGAAGAGAATAGATCGAAAAGGCCAAGAAATACAAGTTCAAAGTCCAAAGACCATTAAAGATTAAAACGAGTTAATGGGTGGAGTAGACCATGCCGATTAGCTGTGTAATGTAACGGTATATTTTTATGCTGCATTGAAAAAAAAACTCTTTCCTTAAATATCATACCATTGGTTCATAAAAATTTAGATGTTCCTCAAACCCGACCTATATCATTTTTTAAACTACAAGATCGTTGAAGTGTACGATATGTTGTATGGATTAATAAAACATGCATATGAATAATAATTTACGAAAATAATTAGAAAAATTATTTCTTTCTAAGCTTGGGAACAAAGGGTTAAGAAAGAGGGGATAACATGTGGCAAATATTAAAATACACACGTTCTAATGGGCACGACTTCACGACAGCAGGGTTGCAGTTGTTGCTGTCGCTAAATTAAAACCATTTCTAACTTTACCGACGACAATGGGCAGCTGTAGTGATGTTATTAATACATATGTGAAATGTTAAATTATTTAAAGCTCTAAAAACGTTGGTTTACAAACAAAAGCATAAAATAGCACAGATATATCATTGTAATAACAATTGATAATTAAAAACAATTGAATCGACCTATTTACTTATTTTTTGCACAAAAAATTAATTTTGAATTCAACCAAAAGATTACAGTTACTTGCATTAGGCATAAGTATAAGGTTAGTACTTAGCTGACCATTCGTACCGATTTGGCCGGGACAGTCACGGACTCCAAGATAAGCGTCCTGGCGGTCCCGGTCTTAGAAAAAAAATCTCAATTAACTTGGTACACATGTTTCTTGGTACAGTAAGACGGTTGGTATTGCAGATGGTAGATCCGTAATCGGACCACTGCCATGCCCACAAAACGCCATTAATCAAAAACAAATAAATTGTCATAACTAAGCTCCGCAATAAGATACAAGACTGTTATTTGGTACACGAGATCACATTAGGGAGGGGCATCTGCAGTTAAAATTTTTTTTTATGTGGGCGTGGTCCCGCCCTTAATAGGTTTAGTGTGCATATCTCCTAAACTGATAAAGCTATAATAACAAAACTCACTGGAAGCAAATGTTTTTAGCACCTCTACCTATGGTGTGAAAATGGGTGAAATCGGGTGACAACTCCGCCCATTCCCCATATAACGGTACTGTTAACAACTGCTAAAAGCGCGATAAATCAAGCACTAAACACGCCAGAGACATTAAATTTTATTTCAGGGATGGTATGAGATGACTTTATAGGAACCGGGTTCAAAATTAGACAGTGGGCGTGACACCGCCCACTTTTAGGTGAAAACCCATATCTTGGGATCTTTTTAACCGATTTCAACCAAATTTGGTACATAACATTCTTTTTATATTTCTATGTTATGGTGCGAAAATGGGAAATCGGATTACAACCACGCCTATTTTCCATATGACACCATTTTAAATTCCACTTGATTCTTTCACTTTCCACTATGCAAATGAAGCAACAATGATTATATCGGCGTAAAACTTTGCGTGAATAATACGTTTAAAGTATGCCACCTTTTGACCAAAAATTCTCTAAATCGAACCAAAACTGTTCAAGCCCCTAGGTACTGAATATGTGGACCCCAGTACCTATAGTTGACATTTTACCGTAAATATCGGCCATTGTGTAAGATATATAATTGAAATTCATATAATAGAATAAATAAATGAAATTATCGATAATAGTATGTCTTTGTTTCAAAAATGGGTTGAATCGGATCAATAGTTCTTGTAGCCCTCATATATCTAATATAAATATTTTTGAACTTCCGCGTGACTTTATACCGCATATGTGAGTTATCTCAATGAAAATGAGAGAGCGTGTTTTACTCATTACAAGATCAAATCGGGTGAAAATTGTAATTAGCCCCCATGTAACTAATATCAGGATTTTCGAATATTCGTCTGACTTTACTCTATTTGATTGGTGATGGTATGTGAGGTACCTTAATGAAACAGTGGGAGCATTTTATTAGTCTGTGGCATGTTAGTAGTATGTGGTATTGGAAAAAATTAATAAAATCGGGTTAATACGGCCCTCAAATTATATATACTACTTATAATGCTTTTCGTTATTCTAACCAGTTTTATGCCGAATATGTCGGTCAGTGAGTATTAATATTTTTTTTTATATATAAAATTGCTTCAAAATATGTTCTCGAGTATAGCTGAGCAATGTCAAAATTAATATATTTCTCTATCCCCAATATATATATGATTTCCGTCTTTCCACCTGACTTTACACCGTTCCGGTTGATCAACGTGATATTTTAACGAAATTAAGTGGAAAAGATTTCTTAAAAATTATATGGTTTGACGCTGAATTAGAATGAAATTAGTATATACTAAGTCTAAACCTTACACTTTCATATAATGAATTCCGATTCTCTGGTTGACGTTTGCCACCTAAGCTTATAATATAAAATTTAGCCACTTTGGTGGAGTTAATATCACATTCATACTTATATATATCTCACTTCAAGCATGGTTTGAAGGAATTTTCTGGTCTTTGATTTTCCCAGCTCACATGTAATACTTATGGTATAATTTTTTTCGTCAATTTGATAATGAAATGAAATTAAAAGGACAGTTTTTCTTAAAAATAATGTATATCGCTGCATATGAATGAAATTGGTCTAGACTTTGTTTAAACCTTATAACCCTAATATACTGATTTCCGCTCCTCTGGTACAACAGCTACCTCATATACCCCACATATTAAATCTAACCCCTTTGGTTCAGTTTATATCACATATACCATGTTTGAGTTAAATAGCTTATTTTTATAAAAGTTAACATTTCGGAAAAAAAATTGTATTGACACAAAATAAATCTATGATCAATAACATAAGTTAATAAGATACCAAATAATAATCGAGTAATGAATGTTGAATTCTTTCGCAATATTTTTATACTTTCGCAACATGTTGCAACAGAGTTTTGTTCACCAAAGAGTTGTTTGCATCATCTAAAGTGATAGATATAGATTTCTATATACATATATCTCTTCTAATATTTGGTGATAATCAGTGGTTAGGTATATTTTCTCAGCCATCATGTTGAACTTATTATAAAATATACCAGACAACAATGCTAAAAAAGTTTCTTAGAGTGCTGGACTTTGTATAGAGCAAAAAAATCTTTCTAGAAAAAATTTCATGAAATAAATATTAGTAATGTAGTATCAAAAGAGCTAAAGACCCTTTTTATGTGGTTATAGATAAACTGCGACCATCGGTTTACATGCTACTGTCTATTATTTCAGTTTTGCGACACATTTTAATATGAAGGTCATGAGGTGAACTGTAAACTCAAGAAAATTACATTTTTACCTAGCGCCGTTGGCAGCTTATGAAAGGTTTAGATATTAAGACAGAAAGAAGAAAATCTACATACCTGCTCTACATATGTGTATACCATACTTAATTCTATGTAAGTTATTGTTAATTTAGCCTTCATGGGTAGACCCTTCAAAATAGGTACCATAGATCCCCCTGTTTTAGAAAGCGTTTAACAAAAGTAATTTACGGAGAGATTTTCCGAGAACTTAATTTCAATACAATGAAATAAACTACTAATTTCTAAAATATAAATATAACTAAATATTATGTATTATTATGTTAGTGAATAGCTAAGTAAGTATTTTATATATCTATATTACTAAGTCGTCTTCAGA